TTCCTGGAAACAACAGTCCCGTTAGCCCGCAGCTGCCCAGCCCACATTCGTTGCTCTAAAGAGAAAATCCCGGCTCACAACAAATTAAAATTTGCTAACCTTCTAAACAATTAAGTAAATGTCAAGACGTAACATTCTATCTATTCTACCTGAACATCCTCGATTTAATCTTCCTGATGATAACTTCACTCTATCTCTGTTGTTATCTTCATCGCCATGTTGTTCGATGAATTACTAATTTCTGCTGACAATAAAAGAACTAGCTGTCTTAGGAATATCGATAAGAATAAACGAAATTATCAAGAAGATATTGTGTTGATATACGTAAATAATTTCATGCCAGAACGAATATGTTGCATAAGTTGCCAGAACCAAATATGTTGCATTTTGATTATTTAATATTTTATACAAAGATGCTGCGAGTAGACTGGCTGCATAGCAAATGCAATGGGATTATATTTCACGAAATTTCTGATTTATTTGGATTCTGTTACAAAATTAATCGAAACCTGATCACCTCAGATTTATTTATTTATCAACTTTACAATCGTAGAAAAGTTAGTTCAATGTTACATAATTTTTACAAATATGGTAATTATGTCCATATTATTATACATTGTGCACTGTTCAATCAATCAATGGTTACATAATTTTGTTGAATTGACATGACTAAATTAGGACATTTTCTTTCGGTTTCGCATTTGGATCTAAGCCATGAAGTTTCATGTGCACAGCAATGTCGCACAAGTAATCCAAACATTCGCACCTGAAAACAACATTAAACAATTTAATATCCAAATATGAGTTCTGGAACTAGACACAGTTGCAGTACCCTGGGTGTCAGAGGTTCATTGGGGATACACGAGGATGCAAGCTGGCCGGGTGGCAAGCGGGAAGGGCATATACTAAAGGCGAAAAGTCGAAACGACCGAAACGAAACGGCCGAAAATATAAATTACAGAAAAAATGGAAAATATTAAAATATGAAATTTACGGGAAATTTTATAGACAATTGGGCTGTGGAAGCACTTGTTTATAGATTTTGGCGCCAAAAATTGGCGCCATTCTCACTTCTCAGTGGCGCCATTGTTCTACACCATAGACAATTCTACTGATGAAAGCAAATATGGAGACGAGGGAACTCGAGGAACAGGTACGCATTTATAGTTTTAATTAGTACAGTAAATATCTATCCATATAATTATAAAACTAGTATGCATACAGACGAGAATTTGGCATATTGAAGTGCAAATACAACAAGCACAAGTTATATTCACATGTTTTTATATCGTACGTGAAGCCATGAACACTTGTTTAACCCTTGTTTCAGGATGTCTAAGGCCAGGTTTAGACGTCGAACTTTTCATGCGCCGAACCGTAATGCAAATGAAGTGAAACAAAGAACTTAGCTCATTAACATTAGCCGATTTAGGTTCGGCGCATGAAATGTTCGACGTCTAAACCTGGCCTTAGACAACCTGAAACAAGGGTTAAACAAGTGTTCATGGCTTGATGCACGACATAAAAGCATGTGAACATAACTTGTGCCTGTTGTATTTGCACTTCAATATGCCAAATTCTCGTCTGTATGCATACTAGTTTTATATATGGATAGATATTTACTGTATTAATTAAAACTTTAAATGCGTACCGGTTCCTCGAGTTCTCTCGTCTCCATATTTGCTTTTTTTTATTATTATTATTAAAGTCTTTATTTTCTAGAGTCACAACAGACGTGCAACTTTACAAATGTCAAATTCCTAATTATTACAGTTAAAAAATTGATCTATCCTAATTAATTATATGAAAGTTAAAAATAGTTAAAAAGACATCTATTTATGAAGGATCGTTTAAATCGTTCCGTTTTAATTTGAGGTAAAATAAAGTTATGTTCCCTTTGTCTTAAAATCCTTTGTTTACACACATGAAGCAATTCATGTAGGGTATGTTCTGCATTCGATACGATTTTGCTAAATAATTTTCTGTCTCTCTTCTCGATCACTTCAGATATCTTAACACTCTTTGTTGTATATCCATAACGATAAGCCCGCCGGAAAAATTTGTCTATACGATCCAAATATTTCTTTTGGAGTGCAGAGCCCCACACTTCAATGCAATAGTAAAAGAGTGACATGATTAGCGAATCGAATAATTTGCTTAGCTGATCTGCAGAGTAACCATAGCATCTACACACTCTCAATGTGTACATACGCCCACTAGCCTTCGACAGAAGATCATCGATATGAAGATCCCAGCAACATGGATTTTCCTGAAATGTGACACCTAGTAATTTCAACCAGCTCTTTCGTTCAATGCCTACAATCGGTGCCGGTAACGGTTTCATAGACCCAACGTGCACAACCATTTCCCACGTTTTAGGAGAGCTTGCCTGTAAGAATCACAAAATGTGTGGCAGATATGAAAAACTGAAAGTTCTTCAATTTCCCTCGATTTTATATATATTGTAGAACTACCCAACCCCACACATTTACTGAAGTTTCAGCCATGAAACAAAAAATGAAGAAATTCAAAAATCGAACCAAAAATGACGCGAAATGTCCAAGAAATTTCGTTATATAAAGCAGTCAACATCATGTGCTGTGCTGAGCGCGCATTATAGGTTTTTGCTCTGCTGTTACAATATATGTCTTTAGAATATATGGAACTTTCTCGTGATATCTTTTCTCCATAAATCGAAACTTATTGACTTGGTTATTTGAGATCAAAGATGGTTGAAATTTCCGGGTTTTCCAAACTAGCCAAAGTACGTCTTGTGTATCACCTATTTAAATATGGTCCTACTTTCTTTATAAATGTACATATGCATAATTTGTTAGGGCTAGGATTTAGTCATTCGACGACGATTTCAAATGTTTGGGATTCTTTTGTGTCTTGGCGAAATTTGATCTTAAACATGTACAATATTAGCGTCATGGGCAATTCCAGCTATAGACTAAATTTTGATTTGGGCAAGAAAAACAAAATCCATCAGCACAGCTAGAAAGAGTATGTTAAAATTAGTAAAATTACAAAGTTTCGTTGCAAAATGTTGTAATTAAAATGAGGAAAATATAGCCCTGCGAAATTTGCAAATTTGTATTAATTTGTCAGTACGCACGGGAATTTGCACCACTTTCGGCCCAAATGTAGTATACAAAATTTGCAAATTTCGTAGGGCTATTATTTCCCTCATTTTACAACATTTCGTGGCCAAACTTTGCAATTTTACTAATTTTAACATGCTCTTTCTAGATGGATTTTGTTCTTCCTGCCTAGATAAAAAATTAGTCTATATGATCTATTATAGCTGGAATGGACCATTTGCATTATAGACTAAATTTTGATCTAGAAAAAAAAATAATCACAGCTTGAAAGAGCATCACAAAATTAGCAATATTCCAAAGTTTCGTTGCGAAATGTTGTAAATTGCGGATAATATAGCTTTGCGAAGTTTGCAATTTTCTGTCATTTTAGATTACAAAACGGGAAATTGATGCCCCAACACCCGATTTGGCCTGGAATGTCAATTTCCCGTGCGTAATACAAAATGACTGAAAAACGGCAAACTTCCCATGGCTATATTATCCTCATTTTACAACATTTTACAACATTTTGCAACGAAACTTTGGAATATTACTAATTTCGTGATGCTCTTTCAAGCTGTGGTGAAATTTTTGTCTAGATCAAAATTTAGTCTATGATGCAAATGGTCCATTGCCCATTGAGTGGTTCGTATTAACTGGAGCGTGACACTGTGAATATTATTTCTTAAATTTTATTTCAACATGATTCTGTGTTTACTGTAGTCGTCACTGAGAACAAACGCTTCACTTCTTAAATATCGCTCATGTATTTTTAAATTAACATCATGAAAAACACAATCATGCAGATATGTAAATACAAATATAAATAAAAACTTTGTCGTTGAATGGAAAATCAGCTGAAAAAGAATACAAGATTGTAAGCGTGATCTTTTCTAGAGTGCCTGCGACAAATTATGTCGTGGTCTAGTACGTAAAGAAAAAGTAGTTCCAAGATTGTTTACTACAAGATAAATAATAATTGATTTGTGACATTTGTAACCTACGCTGTTATAAAACCGGAAGTAACTTTCTCAACAAAGTTGTAAATAAACGCACGCAGCGAGACAATTGTCACTGTAGTTTAATATTGCTACTGAAACTCTCTGATTATGTTACATTGGTTTGTTACAGTTCTTGAAGCATAAAGGTAAGTCCATTGTAATTTTCGTATTTCCTTAGTTTTATCTCGAAGTTTTAATTTAATTAAATCACACGGAAATATTTAACCTTGGTGTAAGTGTTTTCCAAATCACCAAATGTAATGTAACTTCCACCGACAAAAATAGTAATGGGAAGAATTGTTTCTGCTCTACCATCAGATTTGAACTAAGTTCATATTTTGTCGACAGTAAGGGACAGCTCATTACAGGTATTGCAGAAATCACTTGAAACTGAACTGAATCATTTAGTACAGACATCAAAATAGGCAGTCGCGAGACTGCACGTGCTATTGTGATACTGTTGTTTACAAACTATATATAACACTGCGCGGGAAGTATTACATGTAACCAGACACAGTTCTATAATGTGGTGCCCTAGTGTCTTCCAGGGACAAACCAAAAACAAAGTCAAAACCTTCGACACTAAAGTGCATGACAGAATAAATAGTTGCATATTGACAACAGTTTTGTCCTGAAGCCGGATTTTAAAACTGATAGAGAGTTTGGCAAATACAAGGGCAACGGCAACGGCAATATGGTCATCAACAATAGCATTAATCCTCAAAGACAAAGGCAAATGTAAATTACATGGTCTTAAGCGTTGTGCAATGCCGTAGTTGTTGAAACGAGTACGTGATTTGCATCATTTTCACCAGGGCGCTTATATAATGGGCGGTGAAACGGATATAGGCGCGCTGATCGATGTGTCATGCGGCAGACTGGTAACAAGTCAAGTTAGTTAGTAAAATAAATAAACATGGCGACTGCAAATTCGGAATCATTGTCAAACTCAAATACGGAGTTTTTCTTAGACGAAGAAGCTGAAAGCGAGCTTACACTTTCCGTCCCACATGCTAATCGTGTTGAATATTGCAATATCTCTGCCAATATTACAGCAAGGAGTTTGACATCGTTTCTCCAAACGCTTTTGCAAGTGTACAAGCCGCCTGCAAATGAGAACTGTATTTTAACTTTGGCAGTGGAAGCAGCATTCAATGAGAGTAAGTCTGCCCTCGTAGAAGAGTTTCTACAGAACATATTGTGTTTGTTTGAAGTTTGTTTTAGCCAGGCAGGAGCAGAAAAACACTCTCAGAAATATGCAATAAGCTTAGAAAAGGCATTTGCTGAAAAACGACGTTCTACTTTTCACCATTGTGCAATTAAATGGTCATGGGAGAGATTATTTACTAATACAGCAAGTCAGAGTAGTGAATATAATCAAGCTTCAGAACAGTTGCTGCAGCAAATTCTTCAGTACTTTTGGTCTTCAAGTAGTAATAGTTGTATTACTGTTGAAAGTCCTGAAGAGGAAGGTGAGGAAAGTACTGAAGATCCTGCTGCTTGTGATGAGAGTGATTTCGACAACATCAAAGATCATGCTGGTTGGGTAGTTAAACTAGCTAGGGAAACATTAATGAAGGGAGATAATAAAATACCGGCAAAGGAAAGTGTCACAGAGTCGACCCTTGTCTATGGAGATAAAGCTGGGGCATTGGAAATAATTTCTGCCTTGGGGAAAGATGTTAAGCAAGCAGATGGAAAATTTAGATTTATTGTTCATGAACATGTTGTTCCTTTTTTTCTGTTTCTTCATAATTTGGTTGAAAAACTCATTAATCCTAATAATGTTGTGCTTCAAAAGGGAAATATCCTGATTGATTGCCTTGATAAAATGGCCAGACATAAGGAGCTAAGAGAAAAATGGGATCACTTAACATCAAAGTCAGATGAAACATCCGTCATTGTTCTCCAAAGAATTGCGACGTTCTTTGTTAAATCGAAACAGCAAATACTTAGAGAAAAAAGGGGCCTAAAACCAAATAAAAGTAGCATGGCAGTTCGGCAACAACTTAGGCAGTCAAATAATAAAGCAACTTCATCTCGCTCCTCCAAGGAAAAGAATACAGTAAATGAGGAAGTTAATAAATTAAGATCTGGGGATTTAACATCTGTTAGCATTAATCAATTTTTAAACAGTTTAACTGTTCAATCTCAGTTAAAACAGGAGGATTTACTTGGGAAACTTAATGGGAAAGAACTTGCAACGATATTAAAATCAGTGGGAAAGCCATCCTTTTTGGGAAAGAAAAAAAGCAAGCAAGTTACAACACTGCTTGAAGTTTTAAAAGCTGGAAACATAACTGTGAAAGATATTGACGCAACTTAACTCTATTAGGGGCGGACCATTGGGTCAATCCAGAAAACATCCATACCACCCCCACGGAGGAAATAGGAAGTTAACCCCCCTACTCCCTTCGGATGTCCTAATACACTTACTATTATCAGAAACAATTTTTTCTGCCCCCTCCGGACAGCAGAAATTTCCTCTGAGGGGGGAGTATGAATCTTTTCAGGAATGACCCATTAGAAAAGTGTGGGGGGGGGGAGCAAAAATAAAAATCGAGCAGGGGAAACAGAAAAAAAAATTTGTGCACCAGAAAAGTAAAAAAAAAATTCGTGCAGAGACTTTTCAATAGGGAAAATTATAAGTTGACAGGGCCTAATGGTGTGAGAAAACATTTCTAAACCTAAATGTTGCAGATATTGGTGCAAAAAAGCATTTTAAGCATGTTTTAACAAGAATTTGTCAGGGAAAATGTGTTTTGAACGTTAACTAAAGTGATGTTAGTGCGGGAAATTTTTTTTACCCTTTTTTTGTCCTGAAAAAATTTGTATATCCTGAAAATCCCCCCCCCCTCGCCAACAATCGAGCAAGGGATTATTAAAAAAAACTATCGACACAAGCAAAAAATTTAAAAAAAATAACCGTACAGGTTGGAAATGTCCCCCCCCCCGTCACTTTTCTAATGGTCATCCCTTACAGCAAAAGATAATGCTATTACTAGAAGGGATATGTACATGGAAATTTGAGTAGACATTATATATACATTTATTAGACCTAACCACAGTTAATAGACCTAACCAGGAGCAGATGCAAA